GACACACAACGCAACAAATTCATTTTCAGCAGCTTTGCGTTTGTCATTTTCTTTTTCTTGACGTGCTCGATCCTTGGCTTCAACGTGCTTTGCATACAGCTCTTCTGACAAATTACCGACTTTGTGTTGGCAACACTTATCGCATTGATCTTTTCGTGGCTGAAACAATGCAACATTCACCTCACACAGAATTTTATTAAATGTAAACCTGCTTAATGGTTCATTGCCAGAATTATCACATTTGCCCTTGTACAGTCTGTACAACTCCATTTCTGAGTGGAAAGTATTTTCTAAGTACAATTTTCCTGTGTCTTTCCGACAGTAGTGTGAAGGGGTTTTTGGAAGTGAATTGACAAAAGAAACAGCAAAGTCTCTTTTAGTACCATTATTTCCAATATGTACTTGCCTGCTAGGATTGTTACATGGAAGCTTTTGGTTCATACCATGAACAACATTTTTTGACCAGCTTTTAACACTCCAAACACCTAAAGCAAAAGTGTTGCAGAACATTTCCCGACAAACTTCTTTCCTTTCAGTCCCAACTTTCAAAAAGTAATGGAATGTGGCACCTCTACGATCTCCAGACTCAATTCGACGCTTTTGCTTTGGTGGAACACAATCAACTAAAGATGCAACACAAGCTCTCCTTTGATCCCAATTTAGTACAGACCAAAAGTGAATAAAAATTTCCTTACGTGTTTCATCACTTATTTCAGGACAGAATCTCTTCTTACAGGTTTTACAAGATAATGATTTGCACCTGGGTCCCATTTTTCGTTCTTTCTTTTCTACTTCTCCATCTTTCTTGTTTTTTCTTCTGACACGGCCTATGTAACTTTTGCCTTTCTCTCGAAGTGCTTGCATTTTATTACGTTTCCATTCGTTTCTATTACATACCCCTTTTCGTTTTTTAGTAATTGGATCAACACTATTTTCATTCTCTGTAGTTCTGCCATCTTTTGTTTCGTCATCAGAATTTTCATTATTTTCTAACACATAATCTGGATCATCTACATCACATTCTTCAGCATCACCGTGGGGTATCTGAATATCGGTAGAGATAGTAGAACATAATTCCTCAGCAAACTCGAACTGATTTGCAGTGGTGCCATTATCAACTTCTGTTGTCATGTTCTCTTTTGTAGTGTTACATTGTGTATCATTTGCACAAGAATCTTGAGACAGTTGCATATTATCTGGGTCATTTGCATTGTCACATTCGTTAGTGTACTTATCACTTACATCAGTAGTAACACTCAGTGCTACCAGTGTAGAATAAACGGTGGGTTGACTTACAGTTGGGTCAGTGTCAATTTCCATTGCACACGTTACGGATGTAGGACATTCACCTGGAACACAATTACAAAAAATTAATAGAAATAGAAATGATTTTATTCCTTCAAGTATACAGAATTATACAATTGGAAACGGCAATACAGATGAATACACACAATATAAATAAGTAGGTTAACATTGTTTACTGTGTCAAAAATAAAAACATTCAGAACAATAATTCTCATTTACCTAATATCACAATTTTATTTCTCTAAAATACATTTCGGTTGTTAAATAATAAAACAAATCAAAATGTTGTGCTATTTATATGCTATCTAATTCAAAAAACTGTACAATGCTATTAGAATTTTTCTGGCGGCTAATTAATAACGCTCTTATAATTGAAACAATTTTCCATTGGTAATTGGAAGAAGTCTGTGAGAGAGTACAGAGGGTTTTCAAGAAGGAGGCGTTCCAAATCACGTTTGCATTTTGATTCAAGCAGAAATCTTGCCAAATATGGCAATACATTGAAAAGCTTTAATGATATTCTTTAATAAGAATAGGGCCTATCATCCTAACCGCCTGTTAATGCACAAGTACCCTTAAAATTTGAGTAACTAAGTGTAAATATAATACTCACTTATGACAGTATAGACTAGCTGTTCATCTTGAATAATGTCCTCCAAATTGCACACTGGTAGGTCTAAGTTTTCACTCTCTTCTTGCAATTCAAGAAAATTGAATGAGTTAGATGTACTTCGTAAGTGATCAACATCTGGAATGTGGACGTCACCTGAAAAAAGGAAATAGTTTGTTGCAATAGCACTTTCTGGATAAGATGAAAGAACATTGAGTAGGTTTTAACTGTCTCCTATAATAAAAAGTACAGCTCTGTATGATTGTTTATTCACAATTCTCTTGTAATAGAACACGCATGGTACCAAATTACTTTGTAAATTGAGTGTAAAAAATAATTTGCAGAAAAAATATTGTTTTGAAGACCGGTAGCCTAATAATGATGTGAATTGTTACCTGTATTTTCAATGTTTGGGGCAGCCATTCTCATAATTTTCTTCGTTCTTGAGGTAAACATTATTTTCTGTAACTTGGTAAAATGCTGAAATATAACCTCACATTAAATCACTGCTCGACTAACGATAAGCGAATAATGGAAAGCAAAAGAACACGATACAATTCGTATACCAGCTGTTGACTATAGAAGGTTGTAGCAGCAGAATATTGTTAAATTTGACATAGAAGGTTTTCACATTTTCATCATTTGTGAACGTAGAAGGATTCCGCAGCAAAAATTCAGTAACTGACTTGGGAGGTTTCCATATTTTTTATTGCTTTTGAACATAGAAGGTTTCCACAGCAGAATTTTAGCAATTGACATAGGAGGTCTTTATATTTTTCACTTTACAGCTGTTATTTGTTTTTGTATTGCCATAGGAGGTTTGTTAAGCACGCACAGCGATATTTTGCAGAGATATTCAACAAAAACCCGAATGTGATATTTTTTGACATCGAAGGTTTCCATTCTGCACCATCGATATGCTGATCACATTGACATAATAGGGCGTAGCAAGCGAGATGTTGAGCAATATCTCCTAGAATTAGTAACAGCGGCGAAACAGGTCGGTCTAGTCATCAACGAAGACAAAACCAAGTACATGTTGATTACAAAGGATCCTATAGCAAATGAGGAACAAGAAACAGTCTTTGTAAGTCATACCTTTGGACGTGTTGACAACTTCACATAACTTGGGTCGCTATTGACTGCTACCAATAAAACAAGCGAAGAAATCAAAAGACGAATAAATCTTACAAATAGGGCATACTATGGACTCCAAAAGCATTTTCACTCAAGAAACATTCAAAGAAGAACTAAAATTATTATATACAAAACATTGATGAGGCCGGTCCTTACATATGGAGCAGAAATATGAACTCAGAAATATGAGCTATAAACGACCAAGGGCAATGGCGCAGAAGATATAATTTAGAATTGTATCAGCTCTTTGATGAGCCAGATGTCATAACGTTCATTAAAACACTTGACTTAGATGGACTGGACACATAATACCAATGCCAGAAAATACGATTGCTAAAAAGCTAACCACAGGAACATCTGTAGGAAGAAGAAGCAAAGGCCGACCGCGAATTAGGTGGTTAGATGGAGTTGAAACCGACTTACAGATATTAAAAATCAGAAGATGGCAACATGTTGCCAGAAACCGAACAGAATGGCGACGAATCTTAGAGCAGGCCAATATCCACAGAGTATTGTCGAGCCAAAGATGATGATGAAGCGTTTTAAAGAATTTTAATCAAAAGAGAAAGAATCAAAAAATCAAACAGACTTTCTATTCTCTAGAGAATCACAAGGTATTTATTGTCTTTTATAATATACAATTTTCAAAAATTCTGCGATGAATTAACTGAATCTATATTTCCATCCTGGAAATAAGTTTGTATAATTTAGGTTCTATCTCATACTGGTCTTCAAGCTAAAGAAAATGCTGATTATCGTGATCGTGAATCAATATTAAGTGTATATGTATTGTTAGTTAATACAATGTCGGTTTTCGATTAACACTAAACAAAACGTGGTAAGTGATGGGGAAAAGAATAGCATCAATTAAAATCATTACTACACTCTGAAAGGCTACAATAAATTAATGGTGTGAGAAAAAACACTGACCACCAGTTATTCGTTAAATGGCTCGTTTGCGTATAGGGCACAGTACACTAACTCATAGTTACCTTATCTTGAATCACATGGGGCTTCATGTGACTGTTGTAACTGTGGTATATCCGTAGCACATCTTTTGGCTGATTGTTCTAAATACATATATTAATAAATTGATAGACAATATAAAAGAAGATTTAGAATCTAATTGTTATTTAAAAAACCTATTTAATTATCTAAAGGACAATAATATTTCAAACAAATTGTACATTGATTCCTTGTGCATTCGTAGCATTAACTTTTATTTATTTAGAAAAAATATTGCAATAGCAAATAATACGTACCATAATTAATTGAAATAATTTTTTTCATTTATCCTGAAAATAACTTGTAAAAGATGATTAGTAGTGACCAATACTATCCCATTCTAAGACAAGGAAAGATAGGGGACGCGTAATCGTATGGAATTGACTGAAGCCTAAACCAACACCGATTGGCACCAGGAAAGTTGCCAGGTCATATTTTATTTCTTCAGTCGATTAAGAATAATGGATATATATATAAATAAATATATATATTTTTTAATTTATAATTGAACACTGACATAATGATCCCTTTTTGAACATTACTTTACCATTACATATATTTTAGTAGGTTGATATAGTGTTTCAGTAAATCAGTAAATTGAAGTTGAAATTAGTAGATCTAATGAAAAATCAGTAGACCTGGTAACCCTGCTAGAGGTAGTAATGGGCAACGTACGGGCACCAAAATATCGAAAATGGCTCCACTTTTCGAAGGTATATTAAATGAAAGTTACCCGTCCTCTTTCTTTCCTTGTCTAAGATCCCATTGCTCTCCTAAAACGTTAATTGTCAGTGTATCGAAATGTTAATTAAAATTCTCAAAAGACAACACAAAACCGAAAAACTAGGTCGTGGCGAATAATATTTATGTCTAAGAATATTTTTCATTGTTGTTCAAATACTAATATACGTTAATCAAGTAATATTGTTTTTATTTGTTTTAGCCTAAAACTGGAGTAGTACTCTTCGTTTTATCAGCAATAAGAATTGTGTTCGTACCTCTCTTGATATTTTGCAATGCTCAGCCGAGAAAACACTTACCAGTGCTTTTTGACAGTACAACTTATATAATCCTTCTATCCATCTTTGCATTTAGTGAAGGTATTCTCATAAATACCACGATTGTGGCAATTCCAAAGTAAGTATAATAATTATATAATAACTATACACTAACTCTTTGAAGTATTTTTTTGTGTGTGTGTTTTGGCTTGGACAATTGTGATTCAGCCAGTCTCAATCAAGATAAGTTTATTAATGTAGTGTGTGTGTGTGTGTTTGTGTGTGTAGAGTAATTGTCTTGATACTTAGCAAAGTCGACGTCATTGTCTTTGCTAAGAGACGCTAATTGTATCCGAACGTCTGTGGTCCCTCCGGTGAGTACCGATCACACAAGGATATAAATTATTTTTATTTATTAATTTTTTTTTAATAAAAGAAAATTTCCACCCAGGTGAGATTCAAACTCACGACCTTTAGGTTTAAAGGTAGGCGCTCTTACCACTGAGCCACAGAGGGGGTTCTTTGAAGTATAACCATAATAAAAACATATATGCCATATAATCAGTTTACACAATAAAATAAATCATAAAATTCTTAAATCTTCTTCTTTAGGTCTCCTCTAAGGAGGTTGGTAATCATCACAGATATTTTCACTTTTGAGATTGCAGCTATGAACAAGTCGATGGAACTGCAATTATACCTCGTTCTCAGATTGTTGAGCCAGGAGATGCGTCTTCTTCCAATACTTCGTTTTCCCTATATTTTTCCCTGCATTATGGTTTGTAGCAACATATATTTATCCTCTCTTATAACGTGGCCGAGATATTGTAAGTTTCTTATCTGAATCGTATTCATGATTTCCATTTCGTTTGTCATCTATATGAGGACCTCAACATTTATTATTTGGTCTACCCAACTTATTTTTAATATTCTTCGGTAAGTACACATCTCGAATGCTTCAAGTCGATCGCTTACCTCTTTTTTTAAGGTCCAGGCCTCCACCCCATACAGAGGCACCAAAAACACATATGAACGAAATATTTTTATTTTAAGTTGCAAACTAAGGTCTCTACTGCATAATACTTTTCTCATCTTATTAAATTATTTTTATTATTTATTTTCGTTAATAATTGAATCAAGATTTCTGTATTTTTTTTACTTTTTCTATTGGAAACCGTTTTATGTTTAAAATGTCTTGTTGTTGTGTTTTGGAAATTGTCATAAATTTTGTTTTATTTGCATTAAGCGTTAGTCCGTTTTCCTCACTAGCATTTACTGCATTATCTAAGAGTGTCTGTAGATCTTGTATATTCTCTGCAATTAGTATAGTATCACCGGCATATCTGATCTTGTTGACGGGTCTGACGTTAACTTTTATTCCCATTCTTACATTTTCGAGTGATTTTTTAATTATTTCTTTTATCTCTACTTTCTCCGAAAGTTCTTTGCCTACTCCAACTTTTGCTGTTAAAGTAGAAACGAGTTATTATTCTTAAGTCTTTTTTGTCAATGTGTTTATAGTGTTTATCTTAAAGTAACTGTATAAGACGGTTGTGTCGGACCTTATCGAACGCCTTATTGTAATCAATAAAATAAATATAGAGTGGTTGGTTTACATCCATACATCTTTGCATGAGGACGTTAAATCCAAATATTGCCTCTCGTGTACCCATGGCATTCCTAAATCCAAATTGGGTTTCAGTGATGTCTTGTTCCACTTTTCTAAAAATTCTTAAATGGATAATTTTTAAGAATATTTTTAGTGTGTGACTCATTAGACTAATTATACGGTGATCCTTGCATTAGGTTTTTTGGTAATGTAATAAATGTTAATTTGAGCCAATTTCTCGGAATAATACCCGTATTATATATAGTATAATACAGGTATATCAGGATACGTCGGTCAGATAGCTCAGCGGGCTGTGCGGCTGCCTCTCATTCGCTTCACTGTCGAATGGTTCAGTGGATGTGGGATCGAGTCCCAGCTCGGTGTACGGAAAACAAAAAGTCTAACGCAGCAGTTTAAAATTCTAGATGAATCTGCGGCTTAGACTAGAATATGCTGGGATCTGATCGGCCTATGGTGGAGCAGTACGGCAAGAGATAAGGGCTTGCGGCTCGGTGATACTCCTCCATAGATCCCTACCGGACGGGCGTAACGGCTAAAAAAACCGGATATATATATATATATATATATATACATATATATAGTATTATATAAGTCTACTAATACATTGATCTGATCTGATATTAATTTAATAATTTGAGTTAGAATTGTGTCAAGACCCGCAGTTTTATTAGATTTTGGCAGATTTATTGCATGTATTATTGCACAACAACGTTAGTTATATTTGGACATATATCATGTTCCTCGCAATCGTTCATGCTATCTCGTTGTGTCCTCTCGTCCTCAAACAATTCTTGGACGTATTCTCTAAATCTGTTTAGTTTGTCTTTGATATCAGATATTATTTTACCATTCGTATCAACCAGGGTGTTACTATTGTTGGACCGTCTTATACCTGCTAATTCTTTAATTTTTTTTGCAGTTCAAAACTATCATGATTTCTCTGGAGTTCTTATATCTCTAAACATTTGTCGCTGTACCACTTCTCTTTAGCTAGCCGTGTTTTTATTCTGATCTCCTTGTGTGTGGCCTTGTATTCTTTTTTTTTGGCTTTTGTATGATTATTTTATATTTTATATGATTTTGTCCACTAGTTGCCGGATCTCATCTGTCATCCATGGAGTCTTAGCTTCATCGATTTTGTGACTACTCAACGTATCTATATTTGGCATCATTAATGTGTTCTTAAATGTTTCCCATTTTTCGTTGAAATCTTCATTATCAATAATTATTGTTTTGCTTAATTCTTCGTTAATTTTCAACGTTAGTTCTCCTTTTACATTCGGGTGTTTTAGCAGAGTGCTTATTTGTTGTGTCTTTTGTCGATTTTTTATTTTCTTTAAGTGGATTTAGAATTTTATGATTACTGGAGTGTGGTCTGATGACATTTCTGTTCCTGGATATGTCTTTGCCGATTTGATGGAGTTACGTTATCTCTTTATTGATAAGAATATCATCTATCTGGTTTCTGATAATTTTTTCTTTGCTAATCGCAGGTGATTTCCATGTATATAATCTACAAAAATTCTTAAATGTAAGTACCTAATATTTATAGTCCATACAATCTGATTTGAAAATTTAAAATGCGAACTTGACATTCAAGGACAATTTAACTTTTTAGTTCAATTATTGAGATAATTAACATACTATGTAGATAATCATCACCTACTAGAACTAAATAATACACCAGTTAGCTTTGACTTTCACTTTTTACCATGGTGAGAGTTGGTGGGCAAAATATGTCCATCTTCATGTCCATGATACTACTCTTCTCTCCAATATCTTCCCGATTACTTCATCTCATCTCTGCCTTGGCCTTCCACTTTTTTTGTTTTTCAATATTTTTTTTGCTTCCCATACTCGTCTTATGGTATGGTATCCTTTATCAGGTGTAAATAATATGATAATGAAAGGTAAAAAATCAAACAGTTTACATTTGTTGTTTAGGATATTTACATGAGTGTTGGACATTGTAGTTAATTTTAGAGTGAATTGTATAACTCAGAATTTATTTAGGTACTTATGTTTTTATTATATTTTTTTACAGAAAACTAAAACAAGATGAAAAAGTAGCTGCTATGCTTATGGTACCAATTATATCATCAATAACCCTAACTATGGCGTCTGCATTAAATGGTTTCCTTACAAATATAATATAAATTTTGGATATTATAGATTTTACTTTTATCTTGACCAGTATTCTTTTAGTTTTAATATGTATAAATTTATTTTAAAAATATATGTAAGTTTCATATTTGTCACTTTGTTTTTGCAATTTTGCAATTTTCCTTGATACTTTTATTTTTGCTGGATGGCGGATAGCTGGATGACTAGGTATGTGGCGATAGCCATGGAATAGCCTCTGGACATGTAGGGCTGGCGTAAGAAGTGCAAGTATAGAAGGAAGCCTCCACTGGCGTCTGAGGGGTCTTATTGGAGTAATTGATGAGAAAGTTATGAGAAGTGGGAAAATATGTTAGAGTGCTCGTTGAAATAAAACAGCAGAAGATATTAGCAGTTAAACGATGTTTTAAAAGGTACCGATGTTTTAGGCCGTTATGTAGATGTTTGGAAACAAAATATAATAAATGGGGAAATTGGACAAAGTACAGGAGGAGAGTCGCCTTATATTGGATACATTTTTTTCAATCGCTATTTTTTACAAAAAAAATTCTAATTTTGTTTTGTTCTTAGTAATTTGCTGGTATAACTATGTATTATGTCCTGGTAGGATTGAAATAATTTTTCTTCAGGCCATAATTAGATATTAATAAAAAATTAGACAGTTTACAAAATAGCCGCCTAATATTGAATAGGGTATCCGATATTATGAAAACACATGTTTCATGTATATGTACAATGTACAGAATTTGTTTGTTATTTTACTGACTACAAAATATAACTTTTATTTCAGTCAATGTAAATATTATCCTAAAAAGTATGCTTTTTTTAAATTCTTTGCATGCATTAGAGTCAAAGTTTGTAGCAAATTGCAGTTGTGTCAGATTTCTTTTGTTTAATTTCTGATGGATCAGGGAAAACAGGCAAAGGTTTTAGGTTAGTTGGTTTTACAAAGTTGTTTTATCAACCGTGCTAGTTATTTCACCACGTTCTACAGAAACGTCTTGTAGAATAATAATTTGTTTTGGTTCCTCAATACTACTTGGGGATTTATTTTCATTGTTATTATTTTAATTAACAAGAGAAGTTTCTAATTTTTCGTGGAATGCAAAATCTTGGCCACGAAACAAATCTCTATCAAATAGCATAATACCACATTTCTGAAAACCATGCAAAAAAATTTCCATTGATGGTGTTCTTGAATATGCTTTTCTATTATTATTTCTTAACCAGTTTTCGATTTTTTGACAATACTGTCTTTAAATGTCCCATAAAGGCTACATCTAAATGCAGCCTTGTATATAATATGTATCTGTATTATAATATATGTATATTATACAATGATACTATTTTCTCGAGCCCTATTAATGACATCAAAGTTTCTTGTGTGAAAATAATGTCCGTCTAAAATTAAAATGACAGGATCGTTGTCTGATAGCTCAATATATAAAATAAAATGATCCATCCACATAAAACCCATTTTTAAATTCCAAGCATTATACAACCAACTCTTTTTCTAATGCTTCGGGAAGCCCTGGCTTACGACCTAGAGTTGATTTTTTGAGGTAGGTATCCCAGTGAACTTTCCTTCTTACAATAATATTCCTGCTTTTAATTATCCCATATTTTTATTCAGTATGGCCGAAATTGCAGAGCGCACGTTTGCTTTATTATATTACCTCTTTTAGCGGACATTCTGTAACAAAAATGCTCTTCAGTATGGATACATAAAAACGTTCCCAATATTGAGAATATTTCTATGTACAATATTAGGCACATTTTTAAATTGCAGATTTCTGCAACGTTTGAGCACAGAATCCAACATAATCCGTTTGTATACAAAATGTTTGTTCGAAAAAAAAATTGCTGACACTATGTTCTAATGAAAAGTTCTATGGACTATATATTTAATTCTTCTTCGTCTTATTCTTTTTTTGAGCTATGTCCTTGAAAATTTACCCAGCTTACTTCGAGGGTAGATACTTCTTCTTCTTCTTCTTCCTTTATTGGGTAATATCCCAGGGGATAATTTTCCCAGCTAACACTAAATTGAAATTATTTTATATTGAATGAACACTATGTCGAAACTTCTTCTTCTTGGGCCAAATAGTTAGTATAGGAAAGTCTATTCAACACAGGATAAAACTTTTCTCGCTTGGGGTTAGCAACCAGTCTTTTTCTTCATAGTCTTTTTTGATGAGGTCCTCAGAGTTCCACAGCAAACTCTTCTGCAGCTATCTACTTAATTTAATAGCTACTTTACTGTGGACTGTCCAAGTTCCTCTTTTTTCTTTTTTTTCTACCAACGGATGATAGAGAACCCAGGTGTAAAAAAAGAGAATAATTTGTAAGTTTGTGTTATAGTAGATAAGATAGGAATATATAATTATAGATTGATTTTGGCTAGATTAAGAAAAGTAATCAATAAATTTAGTCTTTGAGGATTAAGATTGGATAGGAAAGAGCATATCTCTATAGGAGTTTGTAGTTTTGTTTTAACCAATTCTTTGTAGAGGTCAAAATTTGGAGAAACGTTTATTGGACACTCTAGGATAATATGATTCAGAGATCCAATTTGACCACATTCACAGTACGGGTTGTCTTGAATACCTATGCGGAATAAATGAACGGGAGTGGAACAATGTCCTGTTCTCATTCTAATTACTGTGGTGTATTGACTATTTTTCTATAAAACGAGCCTTTTGATCTATTTGAATTCCATTCTTGTGCCCATAGAGTCCAAATTAGCTTTTTAATATAAAATAAGTAGTTTGAATAATGCAATTTAACTTTGGCTGGCATTTTTAGTGATCTTCCTATGTTTGCCAATTTGTCTGCAACACAATTACCCTTAATATCCGAATGCCCTGGAATCCAAGCCAAAATAATACTGATGTTCTGTTGATTGGCTTCTATAATGCCCCTTTTGGTTATGATAGAGGTATGTTTAGTTTCCATTGAGTAAGATGTTTTCCCTATCTTTTGGATAGCACTCTTAGAATCAGACAAGATTAAGGCCCTCTTGATATCCTTATCCAAGATAAATTGAACCGCATGATTAATTGCAATAATCTCTGCAGTGCAAACTTGAGTCTGCGTAGGGAGTTTACTAGAGTATGAGTATTCAAAGTCAGGACAAAAAACACCAAATCCTGCTGAGCCCTTACTATCAACTGAACCATCCGTAAAGATCATAGTGTGAAGTGGATTGTCAAGTGAGATTCTTTGAAATTGAATTAATGCATGTTCATCACTTTCATTAGATTGAACATTCCTAATAGGGATAGAAGTTAATTGATATTCTAATTCAAAATTGTGACATGGAAATAAGTCACTAAAAAATAAATTTGGGGTATATTGGAATTTATTCATGATGGAAACTAAGAGGGGAATACTTTTTTATTCCAGTAATTAGGATTTGATTGCATTGATATATGTAATTCATTCAAGGCAGAAATTATTGGGTTGTTAATTAGCATCAGATTTTTTAGGAGGAATTTAGAATTAAGCCATTCCCATCTGTACTTGAGAGGAATTTGACCACTTTCACCTAACAATGCATAAATAGGGGTAGATCTCATACATCCTGTTATGATACGAATACTCTTATATTGTAATTTATCTAACCTGTTGATTAGCGCCTTGGGACAATCTGATAATATTTGACATCCATAATCTAAATGACTCTGTATCAAACCATTATGAACTATCTGGAGAGTTTTAGGATCACTACCCCAATATGTTCCACATAGAGCTCTCATTACATTCAAGCTACGACTTACTTTTAATTCTATTAAATCCACATATGATTTCCACTTTAGGTTTTTTTGAATAACTACCCCTAAATATTTCACTGTATCGACCCATTTAATTGCATGACCTCTAATTTTTACGTTTGGAGGAATAATTTTATGATTTCCTATTTGAAATATAATTGCTGAGGACTTATTGTAAGATAGACCAAAGTTGTGTTCTAATAACCAGAGATCCTTTCCATTAATAAGTTCAAATAATTAATTAATTTAAGTAGATCTGCCCCACTAACCAAAATAACCAAATCATCTGCATACTGTATCAGATTACAACCGTTGGGAATAATCTCGTATAAAGATAGGGAATACAGATTAAATAATATTGGACTTGGAGGGGAGCCTTGAGGTAAACCCTGATTAGTTTTTCTTGGACCATGAATTTGACCAGTTTGGTCCTTTACATAAATACTACGATCATTTAATATAGAATAAACGACATTTGCTAGTTGAATAGGAATGTTATATTTAATTAGTTTAGAGTATAAAAGAGAGATGTTGACACTATCATAAGCTGCTGAAATATCTAGGAAAAGTCCTACGGTAAATTGATTCAATGAAAATCCTTGTAGTATTTTAGAATTTAGTAATGAAATGCATTCCATGCAACCTCTACCCCTTCTAAAACCAAGTTGCAATGGATTTAAAATATGATTGTGTTCTAAGAACCACTCAATTCTGTTTTTAATTAATGTTTCCAGCATTTTACCAACACACGATGATAGAGCTATTGGCTTATAATTAAGTGGATCAGTAATATGACCGTTTGTTTCCACGAAAGAGGAACCTGTCCCTTCCGGATACATTCATTAAAGAATTGAATTAAGAGTAATGATCCAAAGTGTGGTAAATTTTTTAACATAGAGTATGAAACCTGATCAGGACCTACAGCAGAATCAGTTTTAGAAAAAAGAGTATTGTGATATTCATCAAATGATATGGTTTTCTCAGAATACTGCAGAGGACTGAAAAGTAATTCAAAAGTCGCCAGAAATAGGTGAGAGAAATGTTAAAATTTCCTGAGCTACCTCCTCTGGTGGCAATTGAGATAAAAGAGACAATTTACTACCAGAAACCTTGTTAATTTTATTCCAAACATCTTTAAGGGGAGTATTTCTATTTAGTTTGCTACAATAGGATCTAAAGCTTATTTTTCGCTTTAATTTTAGAAATTTTCTAGCTTTCGCTATGAATTTTTTAGCCTCTATATAGTTTTCAACACTAGGAGAATTTTTAAATGTATTAATAGCTGAAACTCTCTTTTGTATTATATGAGCACATGAATCATCCCACCATGGAATGTGATATTTGTTGTTATAAGAGGATGTCCAAGGAATTGATGTGTCTGCCACTGATGATATATATTCGATAAAATTTTCATAGTCCTCAATTGGAAACGATGAGAAAATACACTCTAGTTTTTTATGGAAAGAAACCCAATCAGCCTTTTTGAAATTTCTTCTTTTAGAAACCTGATTAAAGTCCTGTGTTGGGATACCGACATAGCATAGAATGGGAAAATAATCACTAGATCCTGTATCTGGAATGGTGGTCCATCCACTAATTTTGGGTGCCACATCTATCGAAGCCAATGATAAATCAACTACTGATTTGCTGCTACCAGGACGAACCAATCTTGTTGGAGAATCATCATTAAGAAAAATTAACTTAAGATCTTCTGCAGTTTGCAAAATATTTCTGCCATTAACACTATCTCTTGAGCTTCCCCATGCTCTATGATTACAATTTAAATCACCCATGATCAGTAGAGGTTTGTTAATCGAGGTGACCAAAGAAGATCAGCATGTTTTGGACATGAGATTGTCCAAAGGACAATATATATTTAATATATTTAAATTATACTTGGCTAAAAAGGTGAGTTGAAATTGATCATCTGAATTAAAACCAGGATTGTTAATATGAATATCCCAAAAGTCTATATTGTATTTAATAAGGGTAATTAAGCCCCCATATCCATCACCTCGATCCTTTCTGATAATATAGTGTGATACCCTCTGCATCTAATTGTATGTTGGTTAGAGAGCCAAGACTCAATAATGAGGACAATATCAGGTCTATAGTCTTTAATAAGGACTTTTAAGTTATCAACATTGGTATTATAAGATCTTATATTCCATTGTATAATAGTTAGTGGGGCGTGATGATTGAAAATATAAATTGTTAAAAACATGTATGTACCAGGTCAAGACGAGAGGGGAATTAGTATTCTGAGTCCTCAGACCCAGATACCTCCATCCCTCCTCGTTCCTGACTAGTACTTATAGCATTATGTGATACACTTTTGTTTTTATGATTACCAATCTCTACATTTAATCCACCATGATCCTTAGGAGAAAAATAATTTTTATTAATCAATTCACCAATAAATGTCATAACCAAATCCTTGTGATCTTGATTGAGTATTAATATAGCCTGATTTAAATCTCTTTGGGTCTGAGAATTATTTATAAAGTGACTAGGAGATTCTTTGGGGGATCTCCCATTAGGATTATTCAATACTTTAGAATGAGAACTTTGATCAAAGCCTATATTTAATGTTCTTTTCCTTTTTGATGGAGTAGATTTTGTAATCTGACTGTAGGAAGCAGAATTTGAAGACAGGGATGTAGCAATTGATCTCCTCTCTTGAATTGAAATACTATTTGCAGAGGATGGATTAGTTACAAGATTAGGAAAATCCTTAATGTTCAACTTTGGGCTAGATGTTTCCCTTGGAATGTTTTGGTTAGCTTTATAATATGATAAGTTGGCAAATGACATAAGTTCTTTAATACTCTTTTGTCTTTTTCTTTCTTTACATTCAGGATGTCTAGAATCATGATCTGCTGTTTTACAGAACATACAAAATCTACTGCACCGTACAAACAAGGGAGAATCATGATTTGTACCACATGTAACACATCTGTTTTTTTCCTTGCATTGAGAAAGAGAATGCCCATATAAAAGACAATTATGACATTGGAGAACTGGACTAACAAAGTTTATCACCTTCATAGGCAGACCATAAATTTCAATTTCTTTAGGGATATTCCTTCCAGAAAAAGTTAAACAAATAGTACCTGTAGGGATGAAAGTGGTTTCTGAATTATTTTGCATAACCCTTCTATTCATTCTTTTAACAGAGACAACTTTACAAAAGGGTAGATTAGTAGAAGTTGACATTTTAATTTCCTTTTCTGACAAAGATTTAAAAACTCCCCTAACAATACCTTTACAAGAGATAAGATGAGTGGGAATGAAAACCTCATAACCTAATTTTTCCCAGTCCTTCCTAAGGATAAACGAATTGGCAGATTGTCTGTCCTTGAATACTACCTCAATTCTATTTTCCCCTTTCTATCGAACTTAGAAATATCTTTCAGTTTTAAATTAAAGATAGTCAGCAATACTTGGGAGATGATAGTTACCCACATTACTATTTTTACCCTGAACAAAGACCTCAAAGGGCCCTAAATCTGATTCAGAATATAAACTTTTTTCCTTAATGTTTACATTCTCTGTAGCATTCTTTTTAGGCAGATTTTGACTTATATTAGGGTCGGGATCTGGTGGCCGGTCGGGAGGAATTTTTTCCTCCATAATGGCGAACGTTAACAAAGTTTAAATCTACCAAAACGTTTAAATGTGGTTTGACTATATAGAAGATTAAGAAATATGTAAAGGAATAGGATCACAAAGAAAATGTTAGTAGGGCTCTTACTTGTATTTTTCCACCTTCCACCATCAAACTTCAAAAAAAAAACCAACCTGGAATAACAATTATCCAAGCTTTAATTTCTTATCCAAAATAAGCGCAAATTCGTAAAATATACTGTACTTAAATTACAAAAATGCGCAGAAAACTTTGAAATGCGTATTCAAACTTTGACAGTTCAACTGACAATCCATATAGGGTAGATAGTTTTATATATTATTTAATTTGAAGTGAAAGTTATTTTGTAATAGGTTAGGATTTTTAATTGTCACTGTCATAAAAGCAAGTAAGAAATGAAACAATATAAATCATTAATTATTATAGTATAAATTACAAATCGAGGAAATCTAATTTAAATAATAAATACATTTTTCAGGTAACTTAAATTATTTTTGTTAATTACTCTTTTAAGTTTAAATTCTTTTGTTGCTTTTGATCTTGCTTGTTTTTTTATCGTTTATCGATTAACTGAGGTTTTTGTGTTATTTTTTTCATCTTCCAAGAGATTTGTCTAAAATCTAATTTGTTTTATATGTACTACCAATTTCTTATTCTTTTTTGTGAAACGTTTTTCAGAACAACAATATTATTTTTATCCTTTCGAAAGTTGTTTGGTTTTTGAAACGTATCGATCATTTGCCTTGCCTAATATTTCCAAGTATATTTTACATTTCTTTTAACTAATTCGTTTTCTTTAACTACAGTTTTCTTTCGTCTTGTTCTAAATTAAGTATATATTTTTAGTTGAATTTCAGCTTTTTATTTTTTGTTTATTTAATCCAGAATAGATTTTTTTATTTATTTTAATAAGTTGATTTAATTTAAACGAGTTTTGAACCTGCTTTTTAGTTGCATCTCTAAGATAGATTTTATGTTTGTACAGGATTAGCCACAATTGATTTTATTGAAAATTACATTTTATAATTGTTTTTTAATATTGTTTTCAAGCTATTTTCTGGTAGTATCTTATTGCAATTTACTATTTTTATTGGGAATAAGCCACAATTTTACGTTAAATTAAGTTTATTTTAACATTTCGATTTACACTTCGGAAATCATTCTCAAAATACAAAACATTAATGTTAGTACAAAACAATAATATTTACCCATCAAGTGTCGACGTCGGTGGATTGGAAATTAATAATATACTCGTATTTATTTAAACAAAAAGTAATAATAATGAATAAGAAATTAGACAGTGATGATTATACTTCAGAGGATAATAAAAAGAGATCCAGAAGTACTCCATGTTACCAACGATGTAATCAGTAAAAGTAAACGTTCTATGAGAACATCGCCAAAAAACAAAGACAAAAATTATATAAATAAGTACTAAGGATAGAAAAATTAAGAATACGATTACAAAAACTGCCAACAGAATTAAAAGAAACAAAGGACACAAACAATACATAAAAAAGTGAGCGATCTAAGAAGAGAAGTGGAAATCCTCAATAAAATAAACCAAACAATACAAAAAGTTTATCAAATTATATGGGGAAAACTACAAACTATAACAAAAATTGTATACCGTGTGTGTTGGTTATTAAAACACATTAGTTGTGGCAAAGCACAGCCATGCAAGGTCAGCATTTTAATTTTAACAATAGTTGCCTCAGTAACGAGGCGATATGTCACATATTGGTATAATACAAAAGTAAGGAATCAAGGTTTAGAACATAGTCTAAAAAAAGAAGAAGAAGAAGAAGAAGAAGAAATCAAGGTTAATAATATTATTAGGTTATTAGATTATTAGCCCGTTAGTCAATCGCTAATTGTAATTTAATATGTAAGCACAAGTAATTAGAGTCGTGAAATAAGTAATATCATCCACAATTAAAGATAAAAATACGTTTATTGACGTTTCAATTTCCACTTCGGAAATCGTTCTCAAAATACAAACAGTAAATTAAACACATTTTGTTTTTTGTTACATAGTGAAAAATTCTTCTAATAATTTAATTTTATCTGACTCATTTATATTGACAATTCAGACATACATTATGCATTTTAAAGTAGACGACTTTAAAATGATATTGCCAATATTGTTGAGTTGCGCTCCTGGGACGACTTTACTTATAAGATAGTTCATTCGATTACATGAAATCAACTTTAACTTGAGAATATCCGTCAGAAAAAAAATCATAGCATGTAATTCGTCTTTAAAAAGACAAACACATGACATGATGACAGTAAAATTCTCCTGTTAGTGATTCCATAGTAAATTATGAGGGAAAAACCAGGAAAAAAACCTCATAATACTATCCCGACATTGTAAGTATTTGTTCATGAATTAAGTTTACCTTCAACAAACATCAAAATTCTGATTTTATATGTTACGTTATTTAAAAAACATAAATGATGTATCCTCTATATGTTACTGACTTACTAATACTGGTATTTTCTTATTAATAACTTCCTCTTTCAATATTGGTAACCAGATCCTACTACATTCTGCCGAGGAAATTGCGACACAATTGGCCTCATTTAGCATAATTAGAGCTGCTTCTTTGATTTTTCTTTTTTTACCATCCGTTTCTTTTAGGACTACATTTGAATTATTCCATTGAACCCTATGTTCATTATCCCATGCGTGTTTACAGATTTGAGATCTATCAAATTCTCTATTTTTAATATAAGATTGATGTTCACTTATTCTAACATTTAATGGCCTTGATGATTCACCTAAATAAAACTGATTGCATTGACAAGGTATTTTATAAATGCAATTCTTTGTCCTTTCTTGTTCATTGTTAGGTTTGGTTTTTTACAAAATAGATCTCAACGTGTTTGTTGTTTTGAATGTTGTTGAAATGTTGAATTTATTTCCTATCCTTTTAAGTTTTTCCGATAATCCTTTTATGTACGGTATTGTTATTTTCCTCATATTATTCCTTGTGTATGCTGTAGAATCTCGTTCTAAGTTGTTCTGTTCTATTCGATCGATTGTTGAAAATTCCTTATTTATAAACGATAAAGGATAATCATTTTTTAATAAAACAAATGTTAACAAATGTTTCTCCTCCAAGAACGAATTTTCGTTAGAACAAGTAATTTTGGCTCTATCGTGTAAGGATTTAATTATTCCCTTTTTTACATTAATATTGTGATTTGATTTGAAGTTTAAATATCTGTTGGTGTGTGTTGGTTTTCTATACACCTGAGTCTCATATCCAGTATCGTTCTTAGAGATTAAAACATCCAGGAAAGGTAGCGTGTTATTATATTCCTTTTCCATGGTAAATGTTATTGTCTGTTATTGTTATGAGGAAAATAACAATACGCAAATTCCTCGGCAGAATGTAGTAGGATCTGGTTAATAATATTGAAAAAGGAAGTTATTAATAAGAAAATACTAGTATTAGTAAGTCAGTAACATATAGAGAATACATAATTTATGTTTTTTAAATAACGGAACATATAAAATCAGAATTTTGATGTTTGTTGAAGGTAAACTAAATTCATGAACAAATACTTACAATGTCGGGATAGTATTATGAGGATTTTTTTCTGGTTTTTCCCTCATATTTTACTATGGAATCACTAACAGGAGAATTTTACTGTCATCATGTCATGTGTTTGTCTTTTTAAAGACGAATTACATGCTATGATTTTTTTTCTGACGGATATTCTCAAGTTAAAGTTGATTTCATGTAATCGAATGAACTATCTTATAAGTAAAGTCGTCCCAGGAGCGCAACTCAACAATATTGGCAATATCATTTTAAAGTCGTCTACTTTAAAATGCATAATGTATGTCTGAAATGTCAATATAAATGAGTCAGATAAAATTAAATTATTAGAAGAATTTTTCACTATGTAACAAAAAACAAAATTTGTTTAATTTACTGTTTGTATTTTGAGAACGATTTCCGAAGTGGAAATTGAAACGTCAATAAACGTATTTTTATCTTTAATTGAGACTTATGCCCAGTTTAATAGTAATTAATTTACAATGCCACAAGAAAATAGCTTCAGAACAATAATATCATCCAATCCAGTAAATAATATGTAGAAACAATTTAATATATATTTACCAATCCTCACCCGAAGTGAAGATGTAGTTGCGTAAGAAATGTCGCTAATTCATTTACACCTTATTTTGTTTAACGATACCAGACAATCTATGCATTATTTTAAAAAAGGAAGATGACATATAAGAGATACCGAATCAGATATTCGGTCAAATTACAGACTAGTGACTTCAAAACTGCAGAGTAATATAATAAAGGCAAACGAAGAAAATAAATACAGTAAAATTGCAATTTTTAAGCTGAAATACACAGAAAATAAAAATAAATAACAAAAAGAAACTGACGAAGACTTCATAAGACTAGACAATCACAAAGACGGATAAACACTGAAAGAAAGATGGAAAAATTTAGGGCAATACTACTAGAAACGACAGAGAAGATATGTGGAAAAAGAAAGTGCAATGGAAAACTAAAGAGAATGAAATGGTGGAACGAGGTCATTGAAAAGAAGCAAGCATGCAAATCATACATCCAGACGGCAGATCAGAGTCAGAGAAGAGTACAATACTAGAAGAAATTAGGTGAAACAGGAAGTAAACAAAGGAAAAAGAACGATTTTAAAAAAATAAAAAAAGGGATAATAAGTATATGATTGATAACTAAAAAATGGACCGTATAAGAACTAAAATACTAAGAGGTGATAAAAAGAAAGAAATAAGAGCAATGAGAGACAGTCAAATCTAACTAAAGGCTGATAAAGAGAAAGTACTAAAAATATGGAAAGAATTCTACTTTGGAAGAACTCTATGGAAGAACTATATGGAAAGAAAAAATTCTGGAAATACAAAATGAAGCAGAAGAGCATTCAAGAGGAATATAGAGATGACAATTTAGAAATAGGACAAAAAGAAATGGAAAAAGCAGTACGGACCATTAAAGTGGAAAATGCTTGTGCAAAAATAGAAGATATATTGTGATCAAAGGACTTTAAATTGACACGTATAACCCAAATATGCTAAAGAATGTAGTAGGTTGTTTCATAGCAAAGCAAATGGAAGTTAAAGTAAAAGTAAATGATGCAAGAAAGCTGGAAAACAAAACACGTCTAGTAGAATTGAATAAAAAATACGAAAAGTTCAAAGCAATCCAAAATAAACTAAAGCCTAACCAACTAAAGGAAAAAATATATAGGTATAAATCTAACAAAGGACGAAAGAGCAAAGCCCAAATTACAGCACCGGCTAGAGAACAGAAAAGCAAGAGAAAAATCACAAAAATAGGGTACCAAGACACTGTTAAGTGCACTGGTACCCTCTAATACAAGTACAAGAGCTGAAACGTCGCTACAAAAAGATTGATGAGACTTACAAAAATAAAAGTATTAAGAACCATAAAAGGAAGTTCTCTCAGAGATAAAACAAGGACATATTATACATTGAGAGGAACTGGAATACAGGATGTGGTGAGCTGGACACGAGCTAGACGCTGCAAATGAAGAGAGAAAGAAGAATTGTGAAATATGAAAAAAACACATAAACATCACAAGAGCTGGGATGATAAAATAAACAGGACCATGTTTTTAATTTGTAATAAGAAGAAGAATAAGAAGGAGAAGAAGAATAAGAGGAAGGCGAATAAGAATAAGACAATTTTTTTAAAAAGTAATAATACAATTTTAGTTTAATTTGAAATATACAAAATAGATAAGGTATAAAATAGTTTGCGGGATATAAAAACGTGAAATCGCAATTATATCAAATCATACTAAGAAAATATGTGGGAAAAAATATAAAGCATAAACTTATTAAAAAGATACCTCATGATTTTAACTTTTAAAATTTAATTCACATGTATTTTGCCCTAATTCTGCACACCTTTCTTTTTTCTTCTTTTATATAAACATAAAAGTTTGTTAATAAAATTTGCCATCTTTTTTCAACGTTCCATTAATCAGCAATTATAAATATATCCTAGCTAAATATTACCAAGCCAACAACCTGTATTTCCTTTCCAGATAAGATTTTCAAAACGATGTCGTCGATAATATCACTAGTCTGCCGCATTTGTTACGATAGTGAGAAGGATGAGGACCTGATAACTCCATGTAATTGTAAAGTAATTGTTCTTTAAACACATTTGTTTTTAATACGAGATTTTATTAAGACATATATTAACAATGCATTAACGCAAGTACATATATATTTACCTTTTAACCCTTTCGACACATTTGGGACAATACATCGCATCAAGAATTTAAAATAATTTAATTGAAAAATGAAGCCTAGTTTTACATTGAAATTAAACCTAGTGATACTTACGACCATGTGCCTTAGTCATAGGCAACATATCATTCGTTTAACCCATATTTTTTGTTGATAAATGAAGGCGTGCTGTTTTAGTTTAAAATATTGTTCTGAAGCTATTTTCTTGTGGCATTGTAAATTAATTACCATTAACCTGGGAATAAGCGACAATTAAAGATAAAAATACGTTTATTGACGTTTCAATTTCCACTTCGGAAATCGTTCTCAAAATACAAACAGTAAATTAAACAAATTTTGTTTTTTGTTACATAGTGAAAAATTCTTCTAATAATTTAATTTTATCTGACTCATTTATATTGACAATTCAGACATACATTATGCATTTTAAAGTAGACGACTTTAAAATGATATTGCCAATATTGTTGAGTTGCGCTCCTGGGACGACTTTACTTATAAGATAGTTCATTCGATTACATGAAATCAACTTTAACTTGAGAATATCCGTCAGAAAAAAAATCATAGCATGTAATTCGTCTTTAAAAAGACAAACACATGACATGATGACAGTAAAATTCTCCTGTTAGTGATTCCATAGTAAATTATGAGGGAAAAACCAGGAAAAAAACCTCATAATACTATCCCGACATTGTAAGTATTTGTTCATGAATTAAGTTTACCTTCAACAAACATCAAAATTCTGATTTTATATGTTACGTTATTTAAAAAACATAATGATGTATCCTCTATATGTTACTGACTTACTAATACTGGTATTTTCTTATTAATAACTTCCTCTTTCAATATTGGTAACCAGATCCTACTACATTCTGCCGAGGAAATTGCGACACAATTGGCCTCATTTAGCATAATTAGAGCTGCTTCTTTGATTTTTCTTTTTTTACCATCCGTTTCTTTTAGGACTACATTTGAATTATTCCATTGAACCCTATGTTCATTATCCCATGCGTGTTTACAGATTTGAGATCTATCAAATTCTTTATTTTTAATATAAGATTGTTCACTTATTCTAACATTTAATGGCCTTAATGATTCACCTAAATAAAACTGATCGCATTCACAAGGTATTTTATAAATGCAATTCTTTATACGATAGAGCCAAAATTACTTGTTCTAATGAAAATTCGTTCTTGGAGGGGAAACATTTGTTAACATCTGTTAACATCTGTTTTATTAAAAAATGATTGTCCTTTACCGTTTATAAATAAGGAATTTTCAACAATCGATCGAATAGAACAGAACAACTTAGAACGAGATCCTACAGCATACACAAGGAATAATATGAGGAAAATAACAATACCGTACATAAAAGGACTATCAGAAAAACTTAAAAGGATAGGAAATAAATTCAACATTTCAACAACATTGAAAACAACAAACACGTTGAAATCTTTTTTGTCCAAAACCAAACCTAACAATTGAACAAGAAAGGACAAAGAATTGCATTTATAAAAATACCTTTTGTAAATCTTTGTACCTTTGATCAAATGTACCTTTGATCGTGAATGCGATCAGTTTTATTTAGGTGAATCATCAAGGCCATTAAATGTTAGAATACGTGAACATCAATTTTATATTAAAAATAAAGAATTTGATAGATCTCAAATCTGTAAACACGCATGGGATAATGAACATAGGGTTCAATGGAATAATTCAAATGTAGTCCTAAAACAAACGGATGGTAAAAAAAGAAAAATCAAAGAAGCGGCTCTAATTATGCTAAATGAGCCAATTGTGTCGCAAATTCCTCGGCAGAATGTAGTAGAATCTGGTTACCAATATTGAAAGAGGAAGTTATTAATAAGAAAATACCAGTATTAGTAAGTAAGTAACATATAGAGGATACATCATTTATGTTTTTTAAATAACGTAACATATAAAATCAGAATTTTGATGTTTGTTGCAGGTAAACTAAATTCACGAACAAATACTTACAATGTCGGGATAGTATTATGAGGTTTTTTTCCTGGTTTTCCCTCATAATTTACTATGGAATCACTAACAGGAGAATTTTACTGTCATCATGTCATGTGTTTGTCTTTTTAAAGACGAATTACATGCTATGATTTTTTTCTGACGGATATTCTCAAGCTAAAGTTGATTTCATGTAATCGAATGAACTATCATATAAGTAAAGTCGTCCCAGGAGCGCAACTCAACAATATTGGCAATATCATTTTAAAGTCGTCTACTTTAAAATGCATAATGTATGTCTGAATTGTCAATATAAATGAGTCAGATAAAATTAAATTATTAAAAGAATTTTTCACTATGTAACAAAAAACAAAATTTGTTTAATTTACTGTTTGTATTTTGAGAACGATTTCCGAAGTGGAAATTGAAACGTCAATAAACGTATTTTCATCTTTAACTGTGGATTATTCCCAGTTTAATAGTAATTAATTTAGTTTAAAATATGTGTAATATTTCAACTGAATTTACTTCTACAGCTGAGTTGATGCTGATTTGTATTTATAAGTAAACCTCTACAGAATGACTGAAATGAAACAAACTGACGTTATACAAAAAAATCAATTTTAGTGTTCGGAATATATAATCTCAATGTTTGTGTTCGGTAGGAATAATCATCCCAATGATGAATAAATTTTTAGGTTAAAACAAATTGATCAAAAACATACACCGAACATCTAACATCTTTAACAGGTTGATTGCCAGTTTCCGTTTCCGTTTTGTTGCTGTTACGTATGTTTACTTAATACCAACTTTGCAGAAGGCAACTACAAGTATCTTCACTAAACCGAAAAGTTATCTTGGAATAGAACTGTCCTCATATTTTTGCATTATTCTGATCCGTTCACTAAGCAATTAAAAATAGTTATAGTAAAAGAAAAACGACGCCGCTGTTTTTAAATAATATTTTCGGTTTTGGTATTTTATTTTTAATTTTATGTTGTATTTGACGATTTGTAAACTTCCGAATTCATTTTTAGGGAACAGTAGCTTTCGTCCACAGATCATGTTTAGAAACTTGGTTAGGCGAGTCTAATACCGCCAGCTGCGAATTATGCCACGCAGTATTCCAAACAGAACGAGTGCCGCGATATACGTCAGGTATTTCTGTCTGGTACTGGTGCTGGAAATCCAATGGTTCAGCTCAGGATGTTAGAAGTGACGTAGTTGCCTGTACCATTATCACACCACTAACTATAATTATCACATACGTCTGTTTATTTTCATCGGAATATTACAATCAAATCAAATTTGCAAGTGTTCCAGCTGCTCGTTGGACTTCTGTAACTATGTTAATTATGATTGGAATAATGCTAATTGCATATTATATGTGGGTTTATTCTACTATACGAATGCATGCCAGAAGATGGTATAACTGGTGGCAAAGAACGTGCAATGTAAGATATATTCCTCCAGGTACTGCAAGAGTTATAGGAGGAACTGATGAAGAAGTTGAAGTAATTGAACAAAGCAGTACTACCATGGTATCAATTGAATTAAATAATATTGGTATAAGTAATTTAGATGAACGAAACCTAAATACTTCTTCTGTTACCAACAATTTAAATACATCAAATGATACTGAAAATACAATACCATAAAGCACTTTCGTTAATACATTATTTCGTTTATTTCATATACTTTTAGTTTTAAATAAATTAATAGTACTGTTATTAAATTTTTTTCTTGGTTCTTATAATATCTTAGTATTACACTACATACAAATGGTGTAAAATTTGTTTGTTTAGTATTCTGCTATAATAAAATTTCCTAAAAAAAACATTCACTTACTTGCAAATTTTGGTCAAGTATCTATCTATATAAAAGGCTAGGACAACAAGTTACAACGGTATTAACTCAAAGACTTAAACCCTCATCATACGAAAGCTTTTCTTCTTTACTTCAAAGGTGTCACTTACCTCTAACACAAACTTTCATCTCTTGTCCGATCAATCCAAAACAACATTCTAAATGAACAACACAAAGTTTATAATATTCCTTGTGCAGACTGTTCCCGGTCCTATATAGTTCAAACAAATCGAAGAATCCAAAATAGGATTTATGAACATTCCATTTCTGATCGCAATTCCGATTCAATTGTAGTTCTAGGTCAACACCATCTTCATACAGGTCACTGACTTCAGAACCATAGACCTCATCTACTTCTATAAACCAAGAATTATCCGAGAAGCCATAGAAATTGAAAAAAGACCTAATTGTCTTAATAAAAGAGATGACGGCATATAGTTATCTTCGACATAGAGACCTCTTATAAAGAAAATATCTAACCCTCACATCAACCTCCACCCAAACTACGTCACCATCGACGGTATAAATGAACTGTCTTCTGTTCCCAGTACCAGTAATGCATTGGTTAGTGATCAGTGTAGTAGTGTCTGGGTGCTTGAGAGATTGAAACCTGGAAAATCGAAAATAAAATATACATTTATACGATACGATATTTTGACGACGTTTCGACAAGATCGCACTTTTGTCAAGTCAGGTAGTAGCGCTTTTTAGTTAGTTAACTGACTCTCCTGGTCGATGCGTTTACTTTTATAGCCGATCGAGGTGCGCTTCTCTCGAGCAGTCCTTGACAAAGCTTCTTATTATTGGTTCTGTCCACTTGTATGTAGGCGGATTCTTATTAGTCGGTCTTGTGGTTTGATGTATTTTTGACTTTTTCTTTAATACCAGTTTCCATGTTGTTGGAGGCCTTCATCCTTTCTTTGGTTTAGACTCTTTGATTGTTAAACTAATTTTTTTCTATTTCTATTGCTTCTCTGATTTTGCGTTTTTTTAATTTCAATGTTATCTATCATTGTAGTTTGGTTTAAGTTGATTAAATGTCCTATGTTTGAGACATGTTATGCAAGGGACAACGTTTTTCTCTCCAAAACCAGTTTTTAAAAAGAGAACAATCAACTAAGTCGCTTTCATTTTCTTAACAATGAAATATATTAGGATTTGTATATCAATGTTAAAAGAAGTATATCAAAGAAGTTATTAAAAAAATATAATACTAAGTTATTAATATATCGAAAAAACATAATTTTTATAAACATAAACATAAAGTTTAACATAACATATTTACAAAACAATAGAATTTGAATTCAATATTAAGGAGAGTAAATCAAATGTAAGACTGATTACTTCATGTACATATATATTATCATTAGTTTTTACCTGAGCATCTTCTTACGATTTAAAATGGTGTAGCAGTTAAAAATTGCTTACCTGGTTTTTACTATAAACACAATAAATATTAAGTAGTCATGAACATACTTTATTCATTTAAATAACTAGTGTACAGATATGGATGGAAGTATATATTTAATTTTATAGATTAAACTTCTAGTTTCTGGGTTCTGGTAGTTGAAATTTGATTTTTAGTAACAAAATATAATCCATCTTCACCAATCTGAAAATAAAGTTAATGTTAATTATGTAATGTCGAATATCATGTAATAAATGACTTACCTTTCTGCCTCTCTATTTTGTAGAAGGTGTACATAATTATTAATTTTCAACGAAAAGTTAAATTGTTTTATACTTCTCGGCCAGCTGTTTTGACTTTGTGTCAACTCAAATGTCAACAAATGTATCGATCTGAAGTTAAACACCTGTTGTCTTCGGTTTATTGCTTCGAGTAAGGTCGTCTCACTGTTCGAGAATCTATGATTGTCTGCTTATAATTTAGGCGGTTTTTCAAGAAAGTCGTTGTTCTAAGGCCCAAATTTACCATAGACTGTTAATTAACCTAGGGAATTTTTCTCTATGAGATTGGTCTTCTGTTTGTCTCTGACATTAGTCATCAAAATCATCACTTCTTATTTTTGGTTAAAAAATTTTTGGCTTTATATTAAGCCATGGCCGAAATGAAAAGGCTTTTGCATTTTTGTCGGGTTTAGTTGCCTTGTGTCCCCTAAATTTCGAGAGGCTGGAAGCCTATTCCTTTTCGAGGAATTACCATTTTCGGGGTAACTTATTCTGCTCCTGAATCCTGTGCAACCACACGTGGTCCAACCACCAGTTACAGTCCCTGATGCCTCCAATTTGTCGGCGATAATAGGGCTGTGGAAAAATCAGTTAGTTACCACCAACATCACTTCAATCCCAAGAAGACTTCTCGATTTTTGCTTCCTGAAAGCATGGCCATGTGTTCGTGTTCGAGCCATTGTTCTCTGCTCCAACTTTAAATTGCCTCCAGGACTCCTTCAAACTTCTCCAAATCAACCTCTACCACCTAAGCTGCTTTGGGAATAGTAGGCTTGAGAACAGGTTTTTTTTTGCAATTTTTTATTTTTTTTAAAAGATAATATCTTACAGAAAGTTATTTTGTTTTATGATATACCGCAAATAGTGGCTTAAATATTTTTTCTTTAAGTATTTTTAATAAAATATTTCAATAAAGTGTAAACCCTTATAGCTATAAAAGGTACTAGGTATAATATAATTTTTTTTCAAGAATCAAAGTAATGAGTTATAATTTTTTTAATACTATACCACTAACTCACATAGTTAGGTATATATATTTAATTGTTTAAATATTAATATAATTTTCCAATTACTAAGTACATTTATAAAATGTTATTTTTTTAAACTTTCAATCTGAAGGTCACTTTGCAATGTCATATTGACTATTATTTTTTTATGTACTTAACTTACGGCTCAATTAAATATTTGCTATTTTTCAATAATTTGTTAAATTTCTATTTAATTAAAATAAAATAAAACAAGCTTTTGTTAGTTGAATCTGTGTTTTGATTTTGGAGTCTACAATTTTGCAATTTTGGTAATATTAGTTTTTTTTGGTAAGTAAGAGTTAAATCATTTAATCGCAGTCTTCATTTTTCTTTGTTTGGTGAAGTATTACTTAACTGTATAAATAAAGTGGCGCTCTGGGCACGACTATTTTATAATTCAATTTCCACACATTAAATTTAAATTCAAATTTCACTTTTAATTTTAACATTTTTTTATAAACTAAAGCAACAATATCTACGACCATTGCTCGCCGATGAACAGCTGCCGCTAGCATATGTAGCAAACAGATCAGTTGCTGACTTTCCATCATTAATTCTAAAATATTGCTACAATGGAATTAGTGACAATATTCATAATTAATTGTCATAATTAGATTAATTGGAAGACGACGCAACACTATTCTCTCGAAGTGAAGATAATTTACAACGTATGCTGCCCCAATTTAATATAACAGTAGGAAGACCACGAAAACAATGACCATATCTTCATTAAAAGAAGAAGAAGAAAAATGTTTACTGGATTTCGTTGTATTATTAAAGATTAATTACAAACTATAATTATTTATTTTATAGGGGTTTCTGCAATAAAAATGTCCCAGGAAAGTACCTGAAAAATACTG